GCTGTTGGACCTGATGATATTACATAGAGGTGTGGAAATGATTATGGGAAGATTGAAGGAATTCATGGCTTACTAAAACTTTTAATATATTTTTGAAGACTAAGAAGATGCAGATTGAGTGGATGATATGAGTGGTTAATTCTATTTTTAAGAATAAAGGTTGATAGTACAAGATTGTGCGAAATTATAGAGTTATTAAAGTTAATGTGTCATACTTTAAAACTTGGGAGCGAGTTTTTGGAGCATAGGTTTGCGGCGTGATACTAATGTTTTCAAAATAAATTTTGGATTCAATGGGGTGGTTCGAGCTATGGAAGCCATACATTTATTAAGAGGTTTGATGGAGAAATATAGAGAAAATAAGGAGGATCTACATATGATATTTATTGATTTAGAAAAAGCATATGATAAAGTTCCAAGAGAAGTGCTATGGAGAGTTCTTGAAAAGAAAGGAGTCAATAATGCTTATATTCAAATCATTAAAGATATGTATGCAGGAGCTATTACTTGTGTTCAATCACAAGGTGGATTGACCAAGTATTTTCCTATTTCGGTTGGGTTACATCAAGGATCAGCCTTAAGCCCATATCTTTTTGCTTTAGTCTTGGATGTTCTCACTAGACATTTGCAAGAGGATGTACCTTGGTGTATGTTTTTTGCTGATGATATTCTTCTTGTTGATAAGACTAGAGAGGGAGTTGAAGGTAAACTTGAATTATGGAGGTCAACTTTAGAGTCTAAAGGTTTTCGCTTGAGTAGATCTAAAACAGAATATATGGAGTGTAATTTTAGTAGTAATAGACCTAGTGAGGGGATTGTGATTTTGGGCGATCAAGTCATTAATAAGAGTACACGTTTTAGATATATTGGATCTAGTGTTCAGAGTGATGGTGAAATAGATGGGGATATTATCAGCAGAATTCAAGTTGGATGGTTGAAGTGGAGGAATGCATCGGGCTTGTTATGTGATAGAAATGTACCCCTCAAACTTAAGGGAAAATTCTATAAGATGGTAGTGAGGCCTGCAATGCTTTATGGTGCCGAATGTTGGCCTTTAAAAGAGAAGCATAATACTAAGTTAAGTGTGGCAGAGATGAGGATGCTCAGGTGGATGAGTGGCTTTACCCTTAGAGATAGGATACGAAATGAGCATATACGTGAAAAGGTTGGAGTAGCTCCAGTAGAAGATAAGATTAGAGAAAGTCGCCTTAGATGGTTTGGTCACATAAAACGGCGGCCTTGCGATGACCCGGTTAGGAGAGTAGAGGTATTAGATTTGACTTATGTTAAGAAAGGTAGGGGTAGACCTAAAAAGACTTGGTTAGAAAATATTAGGAATGACCTTTCTTTATTAGATTTAAACGAGAATTTGACTTTTAATAGGACACAATGGAGAAAAAGGTTTCATGTAGCCGACCACATGTAGTGGGATAAAGGCTTGATGTTGTTGTTGTTGTTGTTGGAAAGGCCTCTTAAATTCCTTTTGAGGAGAAATGAGCTTTTATAAAAAAAAGGTTTTCTTTCTCTTACTTGTATTGGACTTCAAAATTAGGTTAAAGGCTTTGTTGAAAGATTTAACGATATATAATGTGGAGGTTAGAAGTTTGTTGGAAAGGTTTGCATGTTTGTGTCATCCAATTCATAGCTTACCTTGTGAAATGATTTCTTTTGTTGCTCTCTTGGACATTTGAAATGGCCAAGATTTGTTTTGTTTCATTTAATATTGAATTTCTTTATCGGGTTGATTTTCCCTTTAAGGAGAAATGACAATGTTCTTTGTGTTTGCTCATTTGAAGTAAGACTAAGTAAAACTCGCTAATGTTTGCTCTTTCCTTTCAAATCTTGTTGATGATATTTGTGAGCAAGCATTGTTTCCTTATAAGCATTTGAGTACAAAATCTTAGAACCTTCTTTAAGAGCAAGAATGAGGGTTTTGAATGTTGCTTTCCACAATATTAGGTGCTGAAATTTTCTCGTGATATGTATGTAGTGCTGGAATTTATCTGTATATTGTTACAAAATGCTGAAATATTTAATCCATAGGCTGCATATGCTCTTGTACTTGGGTTAAGTGCAGATTTTGCATTCCAAACTGTTTTGAGAAAGAGTTATGTGCAGATTTTTCATTGTTTTGTTCTCCAAACTGTTTTGGAGAAGTGTTAGATGCAGATTTTCCCTGTCTTTATGCCTCAAACTGCTTTGGGAATCGACTAGCTACATATTTTCACTCATTTAATACTCCGAACTGTTTTAAGAATGGAATATATGCAGTTTTTTGTTCATCAGGTGCTCTAAGTATTTTTGGAAATGAGTGTCAGGAAGTAGTCATGTCTTTTTAGGATGAACACTCATGAGCCTTCTATAAAGCATCTTTAGAAAATATGAAATTGGAAAGGTTGTTGGAGAGAAATCGTGACAAGTATTCACATACCTCGCATAAGGTATTTCGAGGAAAGATTAGAGAATTTTCATACGACCAAAATATGAGTTTGCACATGGATTTGATTGTAGTCTTGCTTCCTATGGACTGAAAGTATTTTCTTGGATATTAAAAAAGAGTGAAATTGCATTGAACCTTTTTTTCTCTCTTTTGTATTGAATGTTGGGTGAGAATAAAAATGAGTTAGAAGCATGTTTAGTCTAAAAGAAATTATGGCAAGTGATAAAATACTTTCTTTTTTATTCTTAAATTTTGGTTTCCCTTTCACTAGTTTGAATTATATATATATATATATAAAATCACATCAGCTAGTGTGATTGGAAAGAAATTTATGATTGGTGTCATGAGATTGCAAGTTTAAGAGAGGACATCTTTTGCTTATATTTTTGCCACTCTTCAATAATGCATAGTTGATTTTGAGCTTTTGACAAATTGATTATATGTTTAGCTTGAAATGAGATTAGTGAATTCGATCTGACATAGAACTATTGTGTTGAGAAATATTCTGGATTGTTTAGAAAGAATTTGAGCTTCTTTGCAAAATTTTATCATATGCTTTTGTGAATCTGAAACATCACTATTTGAGATATTGGAGACGTGTTTTGCTATAAGTTATTGACGGATTTTGAGGTCCTTCCATATTCTCTTGAATCTGATTCCTTCCCTACTTGCTCAAATCTCATGAAAGAGCAGTATTGGCAATTGTGTTGGAAAGTCTAAGTGGCATTTTTTTTTTATATTTTGACTTTTGAGTATGTTTAAGGTTTAATAAAAAGTGATTTGGTTAAGTTGGAAAATGATACATGTTGCCGTTGAAGTATGGTTTCTAATATTTAGGGAAGTGCTTCGAGGTGGAAGGTTTCATGAGTTTGCATCATGTGAAAGTTTTATAAGTTGCTATATTATTGAAAATTTTACGAAAGGCTTTGTGAATTGTTTTGCCTTAAGTTCTATTATGTGCTTTGTGAATGTTTATAGTAGAGAGCTTCATGAAACCTTCTTGTTAGGAGATCTTTCACGAATTTTACCCCACACCAAATATAAGAGCACTCGATTGTTTTGTGTCGGAACGAGTTTTGGTGGATTATTTGTGTAGGGATTTTATGTGTCGTTTGATTTGGAAGTTTTTCATAAGTTATTTTGGGATCGAAAATTTTATAAATGGTTTTGCGTGGGAGAGTTTTTTATATCTTTTTGGAACGAAGTGATATTTCGTATGTGAGTTGTTTTTTCCTTTTTTTGTGTTTGTTTCTAGGAGTGAGTTTTGTATGAGTGTGGAAGTTTTGGATGAACGTGGAACAAAAGAAAGCTTATTTTGGATTTCAGATTTGGGGAGCTGCTTTTCGTTTGCTAGTTTTGAGTTTTATGTGAGAAATAGTATATGTAGTTGAGTCGGGTTTTCTCGAGTGCTTTACTTGGAATGTGGGGACAGTAAAGGGCATCAAAAACACCTTCTCCCCTATTCATATTATATTGAATAGGAGTGAAGGGCGTTTTAGTGACATGCTAGGCTTCGAAGAAGCATGTCCAATAACAAAATGTTTACATTCCTTTATCATTTTGTTTTCTCACTTCTTTCTTCTTAGCATTTTGTCTTTTTTTGCTCTTTACTTCTCGCATTTATATTACTTTCATACTTGTCATTTTACTCATAGATTTCTAAACTTGTTGATACATATATGAATGTCCAAAGGGTTAGAAGAACACCTCCTCTCGTCCCCCACAACACAAGTGACACCTAAGGAAAAAAAATTAAGGACCAAGTCTTAGATAACATAAACTTAGGGTGCATGCTCCCTATAGTATAGAAATATCAAAATCTAGAAAACTTAGTGACACATTTTCCTAGGTTTAGTGTTCATTAACTCACTAATAATCAACCAACGAATCAACCTTAATTCAACTCTCAAAGATGCACTAAAATACTTTATTTGTATTCAAACAATGACAAATATTTTATAATCACTAAAAATGCAAACTTAAAATATACAGTTGAACTAAGTTTAACCAATCTCTTAATCAACTCCTAACCAACTTAAAATTTAAAAGATATTGATTAAATTAGGAAGGTAAACCTAAACTAAAACACTTTAAGCTAAAAGTCTTCTAAAACCCAAAACTTTCTAACTTACCTAAAACTCGATCAAACTTTAACCTAATCTTTTCTAAATTGATCAGCAAACCCCCTAATACACTAATACATAACAACCACTCCAGAGATGAAGTTTATTGGATGGACTACTCCGTGCTGCGGGGCTAAGTGTCCTAAGGAGGTCTGGTTCCTCGAGCCTGGTGGCACAACGCCTCGAATGGACTCAATGGAGTGTCAAAACTTTAAAACTAATTAATTGTTAATGATTTGAGTCAAATCCTAATTGATAATAAATTACTTAATTCATATTTCTTTTTAATCTATAACCAACTAAGATAATTCAATAAAAATTAGTTGCCATTAGGTAATCCAGGCCTACGAGGCTATTAAGTTAGCTCCAAAGACGGTGAAATAAACCTCACGGCCTCAGTGTGAAACAAATGTGGTAATCAATCAAATACTAAAATAAAATCTCTTAAAATCAATCCTAAAATACTAATATTTAAACTTAAACTAAAATCCATCTTTTGTCCTTTAACAAATCAAATGAAAGCAAATATAATTAAACTATCCTACATAAGACCTATCCAAGACTACACACCATTACACACACCTAGATTTGTTTGGTTAGGACAAGACTTCGAGCTCTAGGTTAAGCCGATATTTTTTTTTGTTATTCAACGTTTACTACATGTACATGTCCTATAAATGCAATTCTTAAATTTCTGTTAGTTACATTTTTTTTATTTATCTGCATTTCTTTTCTGAACGGCATCTACGCTTATACCATATATTCCTCTTTTATCTTATCTTGCGAGGTACATCGGGTCTTGCACGGTCAAACATCAAGTGACATCATTTGCTTAAAAGCTTTTAGGTGGCAGTGCCACAGGTCTTGCACAGTTGAGGATCAGTGGACAATTTGCTTGCTTGGAATTATTAAGTGGCAGCGCCACAGTCAGGTATAATTTATGCAACTTGTAAAGTAAACTCCTAGTTACATATCGGAACTGCTACACTTCACACACATATTGCTAATAGGTATTCTAGCATGTTTAGGTAGTCAGACATATGTTAGTGCACTAACGAAGCTTTGGCCTTATAGGCTAAAGCTTGCCCCCTTTTTATGAGCAATAGAGACCATTAGGGTCATTTAGGCCTGTAGAGTAGGCCATCTATTTGTGCCATTGGGCATCATTGTTTTTCCCACACGAAGTGGGCATCGTTAGGATTTTGGCCTTTTTTCTGATTTTGGGTATGATACCCCTCACCTTTTGTGAGCCCTAGAGATCATTAGGATCATTTAGGCCTATAGAGTAGGCCACCTATTGTGTCATGGGCATCGTTGTTTTCCCACACGATGTGGGCATCCTTAGGATGGCTTTCTATTGTGATATGATGCTGATACCTTGCCTGGAGGGTATCTGGTGTGTTTATATATTTATTTTTTGTATACTCTGGATGTCATGCATGTATTTTTACACACTTTATTTCACAGTGCACTTTATTCACATGCATGCATTATATCAGTAGACATAAGGATATTTTGTATCTATTTCATGCATCATACAACGCTAGGTATATTCTTTTGCATATTATAGAGTTCCTAATTTAAACCCTTTTGAATTAAAAAAAATCCTTGATTCCTTAAGATAGAGCCTTCCTATCTTGTATACATATAGGGCGATTGATTGTGTTTAGGAAGTTAGCTGGCAGCTCACTCCAGGCAAGCATAAGCCCAGATTGTACACCATTCAGTGTGTCTTTTCACTTTTGGTGTGTTTTGAGTCTATCGTTTCTCTTAGGGTAGTAATTCGATCTTTGATATTTTAAACTCAAAATCTTAATCATATCTTTATTCATCTAAAAAGGTCTAATCTTCACTAAGGGTAAATAGAAGAGTTCATTTTCTTGGGATAGAACTTATGAACTTTATCTGTGCACCAAATTAAGAAGTGAATAATACAACACCCTTAATCAAGAGTCTTCCTAGTTCAAGGCCTAGGATGTAATTAACCACGGGGGCTTGCGCCCGTGGGAGACCGATCCCCACATCAAATAAATCCTATTCGAGCTGATGTATCTAATGGGGGAAATCTCGTGATATTTTGGGTTATACATATTATTATCCATTGAAGTGCGTAGCGAAATCCACTATCCTCAATGGCTAATCGTATGTATAACTCCATATGCTCTTCCATCGACCTGCTTGTGTCGAATGTAAAGGTCTACGATTATTTTGTCCTACAGTATAGTGTGGTCGTACTCTTTGCATTCGAACCTCACAAGCAGCATCTTTTCGGAGACCCATATTTGCCGAGGTGGATAAATTTTAAAACTACTCGAGCTCATAAATAGCTAATGTCTAGTAAAAAATATCACTATGATTCATTCTCAATCTGTCTTTTGCTAGTAAGGACGTAACACATGTCCTCTAACTAGTGGTTTTGCTGTCAAATGGTACTACACAAATGATTTTATCGCTAAATGGCTCCACAGGTAATGATTATGACAGGGACCCTCTGAACCAAGTGATTCACTGCAAAATGACACCATTATACTACTGTCATGGTCAATGCCTGTATGCTCCCAAATGGCGTCAAATCATTGAGCAATAAATCAATAGGATATGCTTGATAAGACACGAAGCCCTTTGTTAGCTAAGGTGGATTCAAATTTGTCCCCTTAGACAAATGTCCACCCCAGGTCTATAAGATACCTTGGGACGACGCAACCCATGGCTGCTAACAAGGATCCTTCTTTTAGGTTGGGTCGACTACCTCCTCTAACTCAGTAAACTAGGGACCACAATGGTCCGAGATGATGGAACCATGGGATCTTGATCGGGCTCATCATCACTCCCCCGCCCCCACCATCCGCTTTAAGTGTAAGATGGTGCAATTTTTAATTTTAAATATCAAAATTTCAAGCACCTCAATCCTTGCTGCCACTATATGTCTAATATTGTGTATATACAGATATGACATATTCATTGACGATTAGCCTTAATCGAAAGTTCTCTCTCATGATCGGCAGGGTAATTAACTATAGGGGCTTGCGCCTATAAGAAACTAGAACTCAGATCATAAAATCCTCGCAAAAAGAGTACAAAATTTCTAGGTGTGTCTTACCTATAATCCCAATCTGTCTTACTAAAATTATCCACGGAACTTAATCCATTAAAGCTTCCCCCGACAGCAAAAAGAGAAAGCACGGCGGGGAGGTTGGGGCACAAATTTTCGGAGCCCGCAAACTTGTACCCCACACTAAAAAAAATGATATTCGATCAAATATATCAAGTAGTGAAAAAACTTTGGTAAAATATAAATGCAAATTTTGTTATTAAGAACATATTAAAATAATATTTTTATCATTCAGGATAATATATTATTTTCTATGAAGTGCTTGATCATAAAATATTCCCTTCTATTGAGGATGAAAAAATTCCACCAACAGATGTTTTTTTTTATTTCAGTTGTTTTGGATTAGGAAGGGTGAGTTAATTTCCAAAAGGTAGAGCTGCTAGAGAAGGGCTAGTTTTTGATGAAATTGGATTGTATATTAAATTGTTTTTATGTGGACATTTGTTGAACAGTGAGGAGGAAGCGAGACTAAAAGTTTTTGGTTTTGGGATCTAATTCATGTTCATTAGTGTGAATATACTTAGTTCGAGTGACATAAAAGAGGGGATAATTGGGTTGATAGAAAGAATGGATTCTATGAAGAAGATATTATTTCAAGATCATAATTCTAAGGTGAAATAGTTTTAATAGTTTCCTAATTATAGTTTAGTTGAGGGAAGCATCCATTGGATATGCTTGAAATGTGTGGGAATATACTTATTAAAAAACTAACTACATATCTAATAATTGTTTTCAAAATTCGAAACAAGGAATGATTGCTTCAGTTAGCAATTTGAAACTACCATTATGCTATTCCTTGGGAATTTCTGTCACCCCTTGAGATGAAAGTATTCAAGGAATAAGCATGAGTGGCTGCATCCCCCTTCATTGTTGCCGCTTTTGGTGTAGCAAAGACCTTGATGTGCTGGACATCAACAAAAATAGCCTTTTAGGTGAGTTGTTTGCTGAATTAGGTCATCTTGGTTGCAGATTTTCTAATCATTGTTGGCTTCTTTAGTGGAGCTTTATAGGCCCTGGATGCATGTGCTGGTGATGTGTAATTTTTTCTGTCTGGAAGTCAGTGTTTGATTGGTTGAGTTAGCTTTAGCCAACAAGAGCTTTCAATATTCTGATAACTGAATGGTCAATGTAAAATGATACACCCACAAACCCGAAGTTCTAAAATTGGGTTAACTTGTAATAGTTATTGAAAGTCTATGTTGCTGTTCTCTCCTAAAAACCAAAGTCGCACAGCTATCTATTGATGTGAAAGCCAGGGCAATTAACATGACAGACAACTCTAAGTACTCATTCATGTGCTTAAACGCCTGCGAGAAAAGAACTGTGTATTTCAAACAGGTATTATAGAAGTCCCATGCACACCTTTCTTTGGTGTGACAGGATTGAAAACTACAGCCGTGGTGTCACCCGACATCTATCATACACACTTTTCTCTAGAGTGATGGGAATGCCCTGCTCCCAAAAATTTTCATAAACAAGGGAGACACTAGGGTGCTACCAAAATTCAAAGTGCAAATGCACAAGACTTGAACTAAGCACAGAGGACTTTACTTGAACCCAAACAACATGGAAACTAATAAACGCCTGACTAGAAGCAATCAATGATGAAATTACTATTCTTTCACATTGGAAATAAAATACTTCTTTTCCAGGTAAATCATATCTGACATTTTTTTCCCAACATTCAATAGTTTCAAAATGTTTGACTAACCAATCCATTCTCAAAATTATATCGAATTCTACCAATGGAAGCACTATCAAATCTGCTTGAAATTTTATACCAGCTATCGTAAAATCAACTGAACATGTTGAATTGGCATTCAAATAATTACCCGCAGGTAATCTAACATGCAATCCAGGAGTAAAAGAGACAAGTTCCAAATGAACTTTCTTACAAAATATCTCAGCTATGAAAGAATGCGATGCACCAAAATCAAAAAGTACTCTAGCGGATAAATATGAGATATTTAAAGTACCTGTCACAACTTCAGAAGAGTCTTTGGCCTCCTGGAAGATAAGGCAAAAACTCGAGCTGGTGCTGATCTGGCTGCTTCATTTGAGTTTTCTGCTTTAATCTTTAAAGCAGGTTGATTCATCTGTGGTCATGCACCCCGATACTGATCTGTCCTCTGACTGCTCTAATTTTTGTGCCTCAAAGAACATTCCTTGGACAATTTCTCTTGATATGGCCTGCTTTGCCACATAGATAACACTTTCCTGAATTCATTAGGCTTCTTTCTGAATGAGATTTTCCATAAGTTGCACACACTGGTATAACAGGAACTTTGTAGACTGTTGATGTTGCCCCTGATGAAATTTTTGCTTTTTGGATGATCCACCTCTGTGATCACTTTGTCTTTTTCCATCATGATTCTCCCATTTATGCTTAACCACTTCTATATCATTCTCCAATAATCTAGCACTCTCAACCAGTTCAGAAAATTCTTTTATGCGAAGAGGGATTAAAGGCTATCTCAAAGAATCCCTTAACCACTTCAAAAATCTGTAGCATTTTTCATCTGAAGTACTGATGAGCTGTGGTGCATATCTTGAAAGAGCTGTAAATTCTGCTGCATATTGAATGACAGTCTTAGATCCTTGCTCAGGTTTTATAAAACTTTCCTGCATTGCCTGTCTTGCTGATGGAGGAACATGTCTTTCCTTGAAGACTGATTCAAATTCTTCCCACATAATTTGTTCCTCAAATTTACCTCTGAATTTCTCCAGTTGTTGTCACCTCCATCGTCTTTCTGCTTCACCTTCTAGCATAAAGATTACTAAAGCTACCCTTCTATTCTCAGGACATCTCATTCCATTTA